CTTTTATATGTAAGGAAAAATACATATTTTACTAATTATAATTAATAAAAAATTTAAGCGTTGCATTATTTTTGATTACCACTGTATATTAAACTATAGCTAATAAACTTTATTTTAATATAAAAATAAAAATTATTTTTTAATAAAATTATAAAATTTAATATAGAAAGAAAATTTTAATTTTCACTATATTTTATTAATAAATTTAGCTCCTAAGTCATTACTTTTGATTACTACTATATATAATTTATAAAAAATTAGATATTTTTATAAAGTATTATATTATTATAATAAACTTTAATTATATTTATTTAAATAAAATTCAAAATAAATAATAATTTATATATATATATAATATAATAAAAATTAAAATAATTTTTTTATATTAAAATTTAAAATTTTTTAATAATATCTTTTATTTTTATATTAAAATTAAAATAAGAATTTATATTTTAATATTTTTTTTAAAATTTCAAATTTATTTTAAAAAAATTTTCTTATAATTAAATAATTTTAAAAATTTTTAATTATTAATAAAATTTTTTTATAATTATTTTATTATAAGAAAAATTTTTCAAATTAAATTTGAAAATTCTAAAAATATATATATTAAAATATAAATTTTTATCTTTATTTTAATATAAAATAAAAAAATTTATTTAAAAATTTAATAAAGAAATTATTTTTAATTTTTATTAACTTTTTTTAATAAATATAATTAAATAATAAAAAAAATTTAAATATTTAAAAATAATAAAAAATAATATAATATTTATTATAAAATTTTTTTCTAATTTTTATTTAAAAAATTTTTATAATATTAAAATAATTCTAGAAAAATCTAAAAAAAATATATATTAAATTATAATTTATAAATTTTATTTTAATATAAAATTATTTTTTAATAAAATTATAAACTTAATATAAAAAGTAAATTTTTATTTTTATTAAATTATTATAATTTAAATATTTTTGTCTAAACTATTCAAAATCAACTCTAATTTTAATATAATTTAGATATTTTAATATAATTTAAATATTTAATAAATAAGTATCAAATATTGAAATATTTTGATAAAATATTAAAATTAATTTTAATTAATAATTTTATACTAACTTATATATTTCTTAAACTATTTCATTATAAAAAAGAGTTATGTTAATAATAATTAAAACAAAAATTATTTTAAAAATACAAAAACTGAAAATTATAAATAAAGATAAAAATTTAATATAAATATTTTGACATGTATTTTTGAATGCTAGATGATGATAAGATAATTTATAAATAATTATTATGTAATTAAAAATTAAATACAAATTATAATTATATAATGCAAATGATTATTTATATTAAATAGAAAAATTATTATTTCAAATAAGTTTTTATATGCATTGCTACATTGGGATTTTCAAATAAAATTTTGTATAAAGATAATACTATTGATCACGTGTCATTTCAGTGCTGAAAATTTGTCTATTACTCTTAAAATTGGTGTTAAAAAAGCATAACTAAACAAAATAGTTCATAATGTTATAGAACATATCAAAACTATTTAATAACGTATTTGTTTTAATAGTAATGTGTTTAAAATAAATTCCTTTACAATTTAAAATATTGATTAAATATTGCTTGCACCAGTGATCACGATTACGTGAATTTTACTAACCTAATCTTATTATTGCAAATTTTATACCACACTAACTCTTAATCTAACCATCCCAAAGCATTGTTCGTTTAGAGATTGGTCAATTACACATTATACTATAAATATTAGGCATTACAGTTGAACCTCGATATAATGAATGGGATTTGATATATCAAAGTGTCAGTCTACCGAATTTCCTAAATATGACGAATTAACAGACATCTAATAATGAATGCCTACATATCAAATTGCGAATCATAATTAGGCTAGGCACGTGCACCAGAGTTTCCTAAATATAAAAATAGTATATCAAATAACGAATTTTAGAAATTTACTCGATTGAAGTAGAACTTTTATTATTCGTTATACATTATAACAAGGTAATGTTATATCAAATGTGTCTGAGTTTCTAAATTTAACTTGATTGAAATTATATCAAGGCTTATTAAAAATTCTCTTTTATCAAGTGATTATTTTATTAGATCTAATTTTAACTTTCGTTATATAGCAATTTCTCTTATATCAAGGTCCGTTATATCGAGGTTCAACTGTATACAGGACTAAAAATTTATTTGTCCTAATGGCAACAAAAACATCTGAGCTTCCAGAATATCCGGACCTTGTTCTCAAAAATTTCCCAAAAAAAGAAGGCGAAACTGTTCAACTAGAAGATGGAAGACTACTCGGTTTCATGGAGTATAAAATAACGCATACTGTCCAAAAGAAAACAGCGCTCAGAGACACTCGAGAACACGTAATTCTACTGATACCAGGACTACCAGGATCTCGATTTTACTGCCACCCGCACGTACTTGCAGGAGAAAAAGAATTAAATAAAAAACTGGCGAAAAATAATAGCGATAGTAATGATGACGATAATGAAAGTTTGGATTTGATTAAAATTCGTTTATTTGTATTAGAACGACCAGGAATTGGATTATCGACATTTGCAAAACGATCATTTCTCGACTTTGCTAATGACGTGAAGGAATTTTGTGTGATAAAAGAGATAACGGAATGTAAAGTTATCGCTTACTCTGCTGGCGGTCCATACGGATTAGCACTCGCTCATTCTTTAGGTAATAGTGAAGAAGGTGAACAAGGCGCACTATTAAAACCACTTGTCACAAAAGTTGCAATCATTAGCGGAATATCACCACATAATGCTCCAAATGCCACTGATAGAATGCCTTGGAAATTTAAATTAGCTTGGTGAGTAATAAAAAATAATTAAACTATTAGCGAAAATGAATAAATTTATGAATAAACTTTTATAATGTTAGGTGGCTTACTAAGCTTTCTCCTAAGCTTCTTTCTTTAATGGCTTCGTATGAAGCTAAAAAGGCAATCCTCGATCCAGTAGTAATAATGCGTGAATCATTAAGCGATGGACCACCATCAGATCGAGATATATATGAAAATATGCCAGGAGTAGAGCATATGTGCATAGAGAGTATGCTGGAGCAATACTCACGTGGACAACTTAAAACTGAATGTTACGAGTATTCTTTGTGGGGAAAAGATTGGGGTTTTCGATTAGAAGATATTGGGAAATTGGGTAAAGAAGAAAGTGTCAAATGTAAAGTATGGCACGGGGAAGAAGATATCGGAGCAACCGCAGCTATGGGTAGATATTTAGCGGAACATATATCTGGCTGTGAGTCCAAATTTGTGGAAGAAAAAGGACACATGTTGTATTTTGAAATTTGGGAAGAGGTGATAGATTGGCTCATGGAAGAGTAAAATTCGCGGTCAAATTAAATTTTATTTACTCGATTAAAAACCAATTTTGAATGATAAGAATTTTATTATAATTTGTTATATTCAGGATCCTTTGGGTTATTCCCGAGAAAGAGAAATAATTGGTTGATAAAAAAGAGGATTAGGGAAATAAAATAGTGAATTTCTTATTCGTTATAGTTGATTATTTGCTCTATTGCAGTATATATAACGATAAATAAATCTAATTTAATTATTTAAATTTCATGATTTATTAAATAAAAAATAATTTATAAGAAATTTTATTTTGATATCAAAATATCAATAATCAAATAAAACAATATATATTGATATTAAATATTGAATAAATACATATTAAATTTATCAAATGATTTGAAATATATCAAAAGCATATCTGAGAAAAAGAAATTAGTTGATTTAATATTTAAACTTTAAATTTTAATTTTGATATATATTTTCTTTCTTAATCAAGTTAATGATTTATTTAAAACAAAAAAATATTATCATAGAGTACTGAATATAATATTTTCTCTTGTAAAAACTTTGCTAAAACAATTAGTTTCTTGCAAAATATTAAATTATTTGCTTTGAGATTAAACTAAATAACAAAGCTTTTCAGAGAAGGAAAATGAACTTCAAATTGCAATAAAAATTATTGTCGAATAATGAACTATATTATATATCGGAATTATTATTATCTATTGGACAAAAAATCTTCTGGATAAGGCTGATTTTTTATATCTAACTTTTCACGTGATTTATATTCTGGAATGGACGATATTAATTAGATAACAATATTTTGAATTATTTATATTATTTATGAACTTTTTAATATTCCAATATGATGCATTTCATCAAATACAAGTATTTGATGACTTTAGATGAAATCCACCATAGTGGTTCTAACGCTTTATGGATTCTTTTCCTAATGGAAAAAAAGGAAAGTGTTTTTTTTGTATCGGCCATCAATGGCTTGAGATTTCTAAATAGATGTGCAGGTATCGGTATTACAATTAAAAGAATATCCCTTTGTGAATAAAAGCCACAATTAGGCTATTTCATGTGCAATTGACCATTGACCCAAACCCCAATTGTATGATATTACAAAATTTAACTAATCCAAATGCAAATTTTATTACCAAAAACTTTACTAACATTTTATTTTAAAAACGAAATTAGTGAAATAATTTTCTTTTAGTTCTGCAATTTGTGAATAAATTGCGTTAACATTTTTCTATCATAAATAATGGTGTGTTTATAGTTAGTAAAATGGCACAAAATAAATAAATAAATCAAACGGTATATTAAGAAAAAAAGGGCCCAAGACTAAAAAGAACGGTTTTTTTGTAAATACACTATTGAAATTAGGCATCTTTTGGTTTACGGAGTAGAATATACATCATTGGCGTGAAAATTCCCGTTTCGCCACCAAGGACCAACGCGTCAGCAGTATTGTTCAATAAATTAGCAACATCTGTTGAACCAGGCGCGACCAAATGCAGCAATTCCAAGGAAGCCACAAATTTATGGGTAATCCTATTTGGTAGAATTAATCAAAATTAATTTCAGAAAAATAATTTACATTTTAATCTTATGTTATGTACCATCTGCCAACACGAGACTTTCTGAATCCGTCTAAAGATATGCTGCCCTTCAAAGTATTGAACCATGGCTCGTTACTATCTTCTAGTATTGCATGATCCTGGTATTCGAGAATCTCGAAACCTACTTTCTTGGCAGCCTCAAGAGCTTGTATGTATGAGCTCAGCGATGGAATAGAATTACCTTGCTTTAAACATTGAATATCATAAGATTTAAAGAACTATCTAAACCACCAATCAATCACAAGTATTGAAATTGAATATTACCTCGATATCGAAGATAATCTTTTTATGTTCGGGGTTATTTTCATCATATTTAGAGGTGGTGACCCATTCAAAAGTACAAAACAAACCACCAGGTTTCAATGTTCGAAACACTTCGCCATAGACAATTTCAAGTTTCGGCGAGTGAACGCATGCTTCCATCGCATACGCGGAATCAAATTTCCCATCTAATTCACGTGGAATATTGTTGAAATCACCCTTCATCAAGATTAATTGATAATTGTTTCGTTAAATAAAAAAACGTGCTGACCATATTATTAAAAAAGAAACGTCATCTTCTATACCTTGACATAGTCAGTTTTACTTTCCAAACCGAGTTTCTTTGCATATGCTTTGCATCGTTCGATCTGATATCCATTATTATTGAGACCAGTAACGTGCGCTCCTGATAATCGAATAATTTCACGCAATGGGCCACCAACACCGCAGCCAACATCCTACGGAAATATGCAAAAATTTTAAAATTTATAGTAACAAATTTTGTAGGTTAGGTTGGATGATTATTCATTGTATCTTACCAGAGTGCGATGTTTTTCGCTCAACCCGAGTTTCAGAGCCAAAAATTGCTCATGACGTTTAATCGATTGTTCAAAAGTATCTCCTTTGTAGGTACGAGCGAAATGGAAGGATTCGCCCCATCCTAATAAGTAAAAGATAAAGGGTCAATTGAAATTATAATCACGCCTCGGGACAGGAAAATGTGACTTTAGAGAGGTTGTGACTGTGTGGTGGTCAAAATTTTCCTATGCTCTGGAACTGGGAAAAGGTGTGATTGTGACTATATAGAGTGTGACGGTATAGAAAAAAATCTCGAACTTTTGATTTTTTCGTTAATTACCATATTCGTAGAAATCCGTCACGATATCGTAAAATGCATTTGTCATGGTTTGAGCTTGTTCCCGCCTTTTTTGGATTGTCTCATCTTTATTGGACAAATCCTGACAAATAAAAAAGTGCGATAGAGATAGCAAAAATGCATTTTTTTTCTTTGTAAATCGACCGTTTATATGCGTATTAATAAAACGCTTGAAGGAAAATTATTTAGTCACCTTTCGGTCCTCTTTCCATAAATCGGTATAGGTATTAACCACCCGCCGATTCAACTACACACACGTAGAACACATAATTAACGAAAGGAGAAGTCTTTATGAAGGAAACGAAGGAAAAAAGTGCAAAATCAACCTGAGAATCCTTGCGGTGAATCTTTGTTACGAAACCACTCGCCTCATAAATAATTTCCCCGTGGTGTTTTTTCACGAGGTCGTAACTATCATTATTCGCATCAGGATCGTTCGTTTCGAAAACGGTAGCCATGACAAGGACAATATCAAAAGGTTTGACAAAAGAGGGAGAAGAATAAAAGGTGTTTTCGGGTTATTCGAAAAAGAAAGACGTGTCTTGTGTCCCATATAAAAAAATACTCGAGTTCTTGGATCACAAAGATTAAGGGGTCGGTTGGGTGGTTGGATGGTCGTTTTTCATGAGTAAAAAATCTTTGACAATTTTGGTTCATTCGGCCAGCTGATCGCTTTACCCTAATAGAGATTGTTTCACGCTAAAAAAACACCGAGAAAGTTATGCAAAACTCAAGTTTTGTTTACCACGTGTGTAATCAAGTGAAAGTTAGAAAATTAAAATTCGTACTACTCAAGGATTAGATTAGAAATTGTTTTTAAGTACACAATGCATGAAAAAACAGGTTTTTAAATTCAATGAATTTTTGTTTACTTGAACGTCTTTTAACGTTAATTAAATTAAATAAAGAATGAGGAATGTGAATGTATACATGTTTTAACGAATCTAATTTAGAATTCTATAGTAAATATTATTAAATTATTCTCTAATGCCTTAGGAATGTATCGGTGTATTATTGTCTAATTAAGAAAAAAGAAATGAAATAAATTAAGATAAATTTAAAGACTGTAATCGAAATAACTCCATCATTTGATCCCACAAGCAAATCCGTCTTATTTGTGACCTGCGAAGATCGCATAGTTTCAATCTTGACCATTGCCAAATGATCATCAAGAAATTGTTCGAGAATTTTGGCAGCAATTTCACCACCATCATGAGTTAATCTGTTACTTGAATCTTGACAAACACCCGGCATATTATATGCGCGTAGAATATAACTCTTCCATTGTCCTGATTCAAAATCTTCTTTTGACATCTCTATACACGAGCCTTGAGTTTCCATCAGACGCTTTAACCCATTTTCTTCTATGAATTGAGGACGAGGAGCATATATAAAAGGTTTTGCGTGAGCGATACATTCTGAACAAGTGCCATAACCCTATTTTGAAATTTGAATGAATCAATTATTACTTATTATACGTGATTTTCAAAAATAATTAACGACATCAATAAGAGATCAACAATTTCATACCAATTTTCCCATCACTACATCAGCAGCATTAGTGAGATCTGGGATATATGCATCAACTGGGCATTTATAAAAACGTTTCGGCAGGACTTTGCCCTCGACGCCTTGACAACCACACACTATAGCTATCCATCCCTCAGGCAAAGGTGAACCCCATCTATCAATTGGCTCTAAATTTTGTCCTCCAAATGATACGAGCAAAACTTTGTGCGTCCGATACACTTTACTAGGGATTCCGAGATTATCGAACACAATTTCTCTAGGTGTTTTACATTTCCTCACGACAAGTGGAACGTCAATCACGCGACGATTCACTTTTTTTAGTGGTTTGATTCCGTTTTTCGTCAAAAATCCATTCGAAATATTATGCTCCGGATATAATTGAGTGCCAGCAAATGATGGGATCGGTATATAGCCTGGCAAACGTATCAATAAATTTGATTTTTTGTAATCCGCAGTCACTTGATCGATAAGCTTTTTAATACTAGCGTCCATCTTTTCATCATCTTGATACATGCCCGAATAGACTGCATCAAAGGTGAAATTACTTACGATCGAGGATGGGATTCCGATCGCTGCCGCTGCTGCACTATTTTTATTAGATTTGCCAAAATAGGAATTTTATGATTAAAATTTACCGAATATCGACTGTTTATTTTTAATCCCACGCACGATTGAAACAAAAAGACTAACCATGGTAGGAAAGGCGCATCTGACAACACGATATCCGCCTTCACTTCTCGTAACCAACTCGACTCTCTATTCACCATCTCTCTTCTTCGTAACATGAATGCTTGCAAACCATCTATCGTCTGATCTCTATCTACAGTATATGCTAGCGGTTGTTTGACGCCAGCGTCAATAAGCGCATGTCTATATTTAGCCCCACGACTAATAGCACCTTCAAAGATAAATTGAGGTGCGTTTGAGACTATGTACAGTTTATGTCTACGTGGAAGAGCAAGAATTTCTGATGCTACTTGTACAACTCGCGTTGCGTGTCCAAACCCTTTATTATTCAACGTTAATAAATATGTAAAAATACGTGGTTAAATAACACATTATTAGATTCTCTTTCAAAATTCTTAGACGGTGCGATAATAAGTGAATTACAAAACCAACCGTGACCAGAAACATAGTAACAAAAGACAAGACTCCTTGGACTTTCTTTATTTTTGCTAATAATATTGACATTTGGTGTCGCAGGCGACATTCTGTCAGAGGTTTGGAGGAGTTGATTGTGAGTGTGTATATGAAATCCGCGAGGGAGATTGAAGTTTATTTTTTCTAATCATCTCGTATCTGGGTATATATAACCAATTCATATAGATATGCAAGTAATCGGTTTTTATTGTTGTTTCATACATGCAGTCTTCTTATCCATAAGAAGAAATATTCATTTTAGCTTTAACGAATCAGATAATGAGTGTAAACAAATAATAATTTACTATAACCACACACGGTAATAATTTACTATAACCACACACGTTGTAAACAAATAATAATTTACTATAACCACACACGGCTATACTCGGGCCACGTTCGGAAAAGCAAGTGTGCAGGATGTGGACATCGCATGTTCAATTACAATATTACACAAAAAATATTTGTGTAATTTTTGTTTTTTAAGATCTACACTTAAAATGAATGTATGTAGATTTGGTATATGTATAAAAGAGCAATTAGTAGCAGAATCAGACTACTCAGAGAAGTAATGGTTGATAAATAAACTCGAAAAGACTAAAAAATCAAATGTAAAACACATGATATGTGAAAATATTCATATGATCTTCTATATAATATATAAACATAATTTGATGAACTCTACCTCATGATGATGATGATATATTTGTACATAATAACCCTTTAAATACCGCCTTGACCACCAGCAGCGCTCCCTGAAACCGCTTCAGAACTTCTAGCTAGCAATTTTGTAACAACTAGATAGAGACATAAAAGCAAAAATATCGACCACTTGCGCCATTGATCAAAAATACGTTGCTGGTCATTATTATTATTATTATTATTGTTATTGTTGTTGTGTTGCTGTGTATTTATAGGATTATTTGCAGTGTTTCGGGTTGCGTCTACCGCCGGGACTGAGGGATTTTCACCACCTATACTCCCTAATGAATTGACACGCGGTTGTAATTGTTGGGCCGTGTCTCTTCGTTGAATTGTGGGAGAGGCGTTTGATTGATTTGGTTTCAATGCATCTGATCTCGAATTTACTTTGGATGATTTGATGGTGGTGTTGGAAATGGGTGAATTATTTGAAGTTGGTTGATTAAGAGGATAAAGAACTTCAACGGGAACAGCTTCCGGTATGCATAGTTCAGGAAAGACCTCTACATGAACACATGAATGGTAGAAAGATTTAAAATGCTTATTTTATGACCCTCAATTTGAATAATAATCTGATTTCCTTGATAAAATTTGTCGAACCTTTAAATTTGGGATTATTTAAATTATATTGATGTGATCGTCCAGCGTATATTTTTTTATCGGCATCAGTTGTCTTGATACTGCCTGTTGTAGCCTCATTGCTACACTGTTATCATTAATTAAGTGAACTCGTGAGCAAAATATTTTCCTTATAATTAACAATGATGTTATAATCTTTGTATTTACCATAAAGCTTAATAATCCATTTAATATCGTCGAAACACTCCAACCAGGATTCCAGGTGCTAGGATGAAAATCTGACATTGATAAACACAATCGAGCATCTGGTTGAAATCGACCTAAATTTGATACATAGAAGACGGGTTGGAAATCGTGAAAATTTTTATTGGATTGAAAATTTACAATTTATGTTGAATATACCTGATGGTGTCGTCATTCGAATAGCTGGTGGTTTATAAGGATACTCTGATGGGAATGTTAAGACACCTAAATAATAAAGAGTCATTAAATCATTAATCGTTTTTTTGATTTTTTTATTATCTTTTGCATAATTATTATTCTTACCATGATATTCGCCATTATGATAAGGGGTATCTTGAGGTCCACGAATCACATAGTGCCTATAGTCATTATGAAAGTATAATGTAAATTGAAAAAATGATATTCAAGAAATCCTTTTAGCTTGAAAATCGCGTAAACAATCCAAATAGGGCTTTACCATTCGAGTATGTTGCTATCCAAGGGCTTTGCTGTCAAATATGGAGGTGGATTCTTTTTGAAATTGAGAATGAATAAATTTAATTTAACATCATCGATAAGTGGTCAACGACCTCAAAATTACTCACCTTTTGAAAAGCAATATATTCCTTTGTTAGTCGCTTGTATGCTGCTTTGGTAGCCATAGAACAGTATCCTGATATTTCTATTTAATGAGATTCGAGCTGATATATTGGCAAGAGTATTCAAATTCTTGTCGTTAATAAGAGTTTTTCTATAACAAAGTTTAAGTATAGCAACGAATCAAGCTACGAAACGACAAACGCATGAAAATAAGCTATTTATAAACGACAAACGCATGAAAATAAGCTATTTGTAAAACAAGGGTTCGCACTTGAAGTAACGGAAATAAAATATTCACCAATTTGAAACTAGTAGATGGTCGAGGTTAGGTAAGGTGACGATAAAAAAAAATCAAAAAAAAATATTCAAGATAAATTATCCCTTTATAAAGTGTATGCAAGGATATATGCGTTATTCGCTTAATGAGCAAACACTTTCTGGAAGACAAAAAAACATACCAGGCGGGTCAATTAACACACAGCACAAGGGTTAAAAGTTGCGTTGGATTTCGGAATTTACTGTATGTCAAACAAAAAAAGATAGGCAACACAGCAGAACAGCCCGATAATTAAATGTTAGATTGTTTCTCGTTTGTCCAATCAAACATCTTGTCCTTGTAAATCTAATTGTGCAAAAATTTTTATTTGAAAATTATCATATGGTTGTTGTGCAACTATGCCAGATGATTTATGCAAAAGTTCAAAGAACAATGATTTATTTGATCTTTTTTTTTGAATAGTACTTGTTAAAGTCAGGTCAGGTCAGGCTCAATCTTTTTCCCCCATTCATAGGAAATAAATAGCATCTCGATTTAACGATATCATGGATTAGTCATCGCCGATTGCATAGTCGCTAAATCGAGTTCTAATGTATTACCCTAAAATGTATTACTATTATTACAAAAATTGTTTATATAAATTAATGATTGTCGCATATAAAAAAATTATACTTGTGATGAGGATAATTTTTTTTAAGCTGATTATTCATCATTATTTGGACCAAGCTGAATCTCGGTGCCAAATACGCGATCCCAAATCTTGCTCGTGATTCCGTATCCGGCTTCATAATTTTTATAATGATGCTTCAAGTGATACGATTTCATTTCTCGCAAGTGATGACCAAACGGCCGAGCATGATGAAGATGGTAATGAGTCAAATCGTAGCAAATGTACCCAAAGAATGCACCGGCGATTAGTGCATGTGTCACGTTTTCAGGAAATATCATGTATCCTAGGCGTAGAATAGGAGCTGCGATACAGAATCCAAGAACTGGTGGCATTACTAGGCGCAGTCTCAAGAAAATAAAATATTTGATTAGGTTTCGAAAAATTAAGTTATATTGTTAATAAATTTATTAAGTTGGATAAAAATACCTGTCCATTGGCAAATAATGATGGATCCCATGCAAAGCAAAATGAACCGAAAGTGCGTAGGGGTGATCAGGCAATAATCGATCGATATGAAAAACGAATCGATGCAATGTATACTCAAGCAAAGTCCAAATAAACATCCCGATAATAAATAAGACTGTAATGCTTTTGTTGCCTAAGGTTTCTGATGCCATGTATATATGATAATAGGTAGCGGGGAGCCATAAAGCCGGAATCAAATACCAAGGAGTTTTCGTCAACATTTCCAAGGAAGGATGTTCAAATAATCGTGCGGAATATGGAAGAAAACGTGGTTTGTGTATTTGTCTAAGATAGAATTCCTTTGAAAAGTTACAATTGAACATTTGATAGAATAATGGTTTATTGAGATCGAGAAAATTTTCTTCTTGTAAATCCGAGTTGATGTCGGTTTCCGATGGTTTAAATGCCTCATCAACCACTAATTCATCATTTAATAATTTGTTTGTTTGTCCGTTACTTTCTTCGACAACTGTTGTCGAACCATTATGATTGCTATCATTATTCGAAGTAATTGTTGTTGTCGTCGACATTGCTGCTGATGTTCTCACTTGGTTCGGTGTAGTTATTACTTGGTTGGCTGACTCTTCCGACATGCTTGTCCTAGCAAAGCCGTTTGAAGTTGATTCTATCACTTCACCTATACATAACTCTGCTAAAACATCGTATGCAACCTGCGTATGCTCATGCTGATCAGGGTCAGACATTATGCTAGTCACATCTTTACCTCCCCATTGTTCAATTAACTCTGAACCTCCGGGATGATCGAGAACGAACTCTGTCATGTCATATACTTTGTTGTTACTAATTACCCATAAGTCAGAAGGCGTATTATGTTTAGCTACTTCTTCACGGGTATATCTGAAAACCTTACGTCCGGGCATAGTGAATAAAAAAAATTGTTGGTATTATTAATGACAATTACCTAATCGCTTAAAAAAAACCTGAGGTGTCACACGTATATTCAGTGCATTATCCAATCTATATCAGTTGATGTACGGTGCGCGTGATTCCGGTCTGTGCACTTCGCAAAGACAAGACTTCAAAAATCTAGCTTAACTATTAAAAAGATGTCGGGAAGAAATTTTACATAAGGGAATCAATCCCGCCTAATATTTTTTGCTAAAATTTTTAATATTGAATTTTAAAAACTATGAATGAAGAAAAATCTAATAATAAAAGATTTATATTTGAAAAAGAAATAAGTACAAAGATTAAGTTTACTAGTTATCAAAAGTCATTTATGAAAGAAAACATGTGAAGAAAGAAAATTCTATATATGAATTTGATAAAATGCAAAGATTATTTCAAGATATTGAACCAAGCCTTAAGAATTAATGATTATAATAAATAAATAATAAATTATATAAAAAGAATAATATTACTTATATACTATCTTAAATAATATTAAAATTTATATATTTAAGTTTGATCTAATATATTATCTAGATTCAGTAATAAAGAATTAAATATCATGATGAATATTAATATAACTATAATATTAAGCATAATAAATTATAAGAAAAAAAATATTTAATATATAGTACATAAAAAAAATTATTATTATTTATTATTTATTTATTAATCTTTAAAATCTTTTATATTAATTATTTTATTATCAATTTATCTTTAGTTTTTTGTCACATATTATCAAGACTCTTCCATATAAAATATAATTAATAAAAAAGAATCTTTTTATTTTTGAATATAAAAAAGTTATTAAAGTTTTAAAATATAATTTTAAAGAAAAAAAAATTACTAAAGCTTTAAATTATTCTTAAATTATTCATCAGAAAATTTTTTGGGATGATTTGTATTAATTTTTATAATTAGTTATATATCAATATATATTAGAGTTATTAATGTATATTAAAATAGATATTTGATATATATTAATATATATTGAAGTTATCAATATATATTATTTAATAAAGTATATTATTAAATATCATTATTTAATAATAAATATTATTAAATATTATTATTTAATGATATAGATTATTAAATATTATTATTTAATGATATAAATCATTAAATATCATTATTTAATAATGTAAATTTATTAAATATCATTATTTAATAGTATAGATCATTAAATATTATTATTTAATGATATAGATTATTAAATATCATTGTTTAATAATATAAATTTGTTAAATATTATTATTTAATGATATAAATCATTAAATATTATTATTTAATAGTATAAATTTGTTAAATTAACTTATTTTATTAAATATTATTATTTAATGATTTTTATTATTAAATTCAGAATTTTTTATTATTAAAATAAAAATTTATTTAATAAATATATTACTTTAAATATAATTTTAATAATTCTCAACTAATTAATTAATATTTTTATCTTCACTCTCTGTAAATAAGTCATTTATTACACAAAAATTATATACTTTTTGTTGGATAGTATTATCACTTATATTATTATCATCTTTATTGTCTTTAAATTCTAATCTATTTTTTTTTTTATCATGTCTTTCATCTTTAATGATACTTATCAAGTTTTTACATATTAGATTTATATTTTTTTGATATATTTCCTAAAAGAAAATTAATATTAGTCATAAAAAATTATATATAGTATAAAATAAAAACTTATTTTATATTTATTATATAGTATTATAATGAAGTTTTACTTATTTTAATTAATGAATGATTTGGATTTAGTATAATATCACATATACTTATGATATATACACATAAGTCAATAGATAGTAATTTTTCATGAAAAGATGAAAAGATAATACAAGTGATATAGTTAATATTGCTAGTACTATTATTTCTAAATTGAAATAACTTATTATAATATTTAGTCACTTTTAATAATACTTTTCATTTAGAAATTTTCTTAAAATTTTTTTTGTTTATTAATCTAAGATAAGTTATTCATTTCAAAGACATGAAAAATTACTTTCTTAACTATCATCATATTAAAATTACATATATCTTTTATTCTTTTCATAATTTAATTAAGATATAAAAATTATCAATAAAATTTAATAAAACTATAATTATAATAATTACTGCTAAGTGATATTTTTCAGAAAAAGTATTAGTTCATTCATGTTTTTCAATTTTTTGTAAATAGTTAGGGTAATTGTGATTGAGTCAGGATTCAAGTTCCTTCTTATAATTATTAAATTGTAATCATAATTTAGTTAGAAAAAAACTCAAACAGATATTACTATAATCATCTTATAATTATTTAAATTTTAAATTCAATAATATATATAAGCAAATTAAAATAATATATATTTATAGCTCATACTTTTCTATTTAAATCTATTTTTTTGTCTTATTTCTTTCTTATTTATATCTTAATTCTTTTCAATTTATCAAATATCATCTTTTAGAACTCATAAATCACTTTAATTATTAATCTTATTTTAATATAACTTTATTATGATATTTTTCATGTTGAATATATTCATTTATATCATATAATTTAAATGATATTCTTAATAAATCAATTAATATTCTTGATAAATCAGTAAGAATAAATAATTTTAATGAACTAGAAGTAGTAGTAGTCTGTGTGTAATTTATAAAGTTAAAAATTAATATTTAACAATATCTATTAAATGATATTTAATAATATTAATTAAAGATTATCAGAAATTGATTTTGATATAGTTAATATTAGATTAAATATATTTTTAGATTAAGAATATGCTATTTTAGTAAAAGAACTATCATTTGAAGAATTAATTTATTATTATATTTATTCTTTAGATATTATTTTAATAAGATTTAAATAAAAAGTATAAATAAGAAAGACAGATTTTATAACAAGTTATTTAAATAAGAATTCTTACTTATTAATTAATAATAGTTTTTTTTAAAAAATATATAATACATTAATAATTAGAAAAATACATTATATAAAAATAAATAATTTTATTTATTGATTAATGATAATCTTGAAAATACATAATTACTATAATTTCAAGAGAAATATATTTAGAGAGATTTAATTATATAGATTTTAATATAAAAAGAAAATTTTAATTTTTACTTATCAATAATTAGAAAAATATATCATATAGAAATAAATAATTTTACTTATTAATTAATAATAGTCTTAAAAATGTATAATATATTAATAATTAAAAAATATATTATATAGAAATAAATAATCTTATCTATTAATTAGTAATAGTCTTGAAAAATATATAACATATTTATAATTAGAAAAGTAATAATTAAAAAGCAAATTAGATAAAAAGCAAGTAATTTTAATTATTAAAGTATATATATATATTAAAAAG